TGAGTAGTCTTATCTATACGGTTAGTGGACAATGGATTACAATTATGAATGGTTATCAGTATGTCTGCGTTTAATTACTGCATATTGTAATTGAGATCTCAATTATATGAAACGTCATAAACATAAATGTGAAAAACACGCTACTTAAAATCTGTACAGTACACGTGGTAACATTTTATGTTGGTGTCAGGTACATTGTTAGCTGGCACAGTTGTAAACGTACAGTCCCAAAAGTATGAGTTTACATTGTGAACTGGCACTAATGCATCTCATATCTATGTTGATACACGTATTTGTACGTACGCACGTGTATTATGTTTCTATGTTCGGGCACTATGATAATGTACGATATGTTCTGATACAAATATGATATGTGTGCAAACACTTTCAGTTACTGGTGCATATGCGTACATAAAGTAGTTATGATGTCTTCTTTTATTCAACGAATTTAATTGAGTATGAGCTTTTTCACCAATGGCAATGAATACGAGCATGATGAGCATAGACATTTTTGTTGGACTCAAATCATTTTTTCAGGCATTTTTAAAGGCCATGTTTACACGAGCGCTTAGTACATCTTCATTGTGCCAGGGCAAGCGGATCTGTAATTTGGCTAAGATTCCTGACGGAAAGTTGGTTTGAGTTTACAACAAGCATTTAATTTGTATGATATCACTTAAATTTTGTATTTTATTCAAGGTAGGAACATGCCACCTAAGAGAAAAAGGAGTCGGACGACAAAAGCTGCGGAGCCTCGACCAAAACGCAGCGCATCGTCGAAAGACCAGGAAATCGTGAATACAATCCAAAACGCAATACAAGCAGCCATTCCTGGTATTACGAAGGCGGTAATGGATGAGATATCCAAACGGCAGACTAGTACTGACACCGCTATAATGCCAAGTCCTTCAACGCCTGGTGGGAAGCGGCCAGTGACAGTGATGTGGAGCTTGCGGTTAATCTGGGTATTTCTAAAACTTTCCTCAAAGCCCCCGAAAGTATTTCAAAGCATCTAGCCTTAGGCATTGATTCTAAAATGAAATAAAAAATACGGGCAAACGAATTCGTCGATTTTGGCACTTAAAAAAAAGCCAACTGATAAACAAGTAAAATTTTCAATCGAAGAGGGTGATGATGGCTTAACATTTGTAAAGGAAAAATCCACCCCTCTTAAGATTAAATACATTTCCCAATGGATGAAAGCTTTTCATATATTCGTTAGTATATTTAGCGAGAGGCATGCAAATGATGCCATTAAAATTTGCTGAAATATGCGTCTATTGTTCAAAACTTGCTGACCAGTCTACTGCGTCAGCCGCCATTCAGTTTGACAAAACGTTTCGTCAGTAGAGATCAATATATCCCACCAAACTCCCATTGGATCAATTAAACGCTGAATTGTATCAAGAGGCATTGACATCCGATTGGCAATCGAAGTTAAGGGGAGTAGCACAAACGAGTAGCACAAAAACCTACTTTTCGTCCCTTTCAAGGTACCAATGGGAGGGCGGGGAACAGTAAACTCGTATGTTACCAAATCAATAATTCCGAACAAGGAATTTGCTATAGAAAAGATAGTAGATTCTCCCACATATGCCAACGCTGTGGTGGAGAACACAGTAGAAAAACTTGCCATCAACCCCGAAACTCCCTAATACAGCAAACAAAAAATAAGCAAAAAATCTACCCCCCAAATCTGATCATTAGAAAGTAAACAGTCAACCCTTAAACTTACGAAATAATAACGTTGATATAGTAACTCCCGTGAATCCTAAACGGTTACAACATAGGCTATCGGAATACAATGAGGGTGACAAACAAATTTTAGTTGATGGCTTTACAGAGGGTTTTAAAATTCCTTCTCAAGGTGTTCGTGAGCAGAGATTTTGTAACAACTTAATAAAATCAACCGATCAACTTTATCTATCCTTCAAGAAAAGATAAAGAATGAGGTACGTTGTGGTCGAGCAGCGGGACCTTTCATAAATACTCCATTCAACAATTTTCTGTGATCACCATTAGGTTCAGTGTCCAAAAAACAAAAAGATGAATTTAGAGTAATCCATCATGTATCTTATCCTGAGGGCCAATCTATAAATGATGGGATTTCGCAGGATATTTGTTCGGTTTAATTTTAAACCATCGATGACGCGACTAATTTATTTAAAACAACTTGGAAAAGGAGTTTTGTTTGCAAAGAAAGATATTGAAAATGCCTTTAAAATCATTCCTGTTCATCCTCCAGATCGTGAATTGTTGGGTTTTAGAGTAGGAGTTGGGTTTTTTTCGACAAGACCTTACCAATGGGCCGAAGTTACTATTGTAACTTATTTGAAAGATTTAGTTCTTCATTGCATAGAGTAATGGAATGCCATTACCAATCTGTGATCATGTTTTGGACGACTTTCTTTTGATGGGACCATCTCATTCTAACAATTGTTTGAAATCGTAGGAGAACTTCTCTCAATTATGTAATAACATACGTATCCCAATTAAAAATGAGAAAACAATGTATTGCACAACGACAATAACATTTTTTGGTCTCTAAGTCTATTCACTAGCTATGGAAGTTAGATTGCCAAGGGATAAGCTTTATAAGCTAAGAGATACAATAGATTCGTTTAAGAAGAGAAAAAAGTAAGTCTAAAAGAATTTCAATCTTTGACTGGATTACTTAACTTTGCTTGCGCGGCTGTCTGACCAAGTCGCACTTTCCTGCGACCCCATTTCAAACGGCGTTTGAACAATCGAACTGCTTTGTTCAAATTGCTATCACTCTGAAAGATATAGCGGCAGCCATTCTGAAGAATTCCCTCGCTCCTACATCAAAAGCAGCTTACGAGAAAATGTTTCCTTTTTACGCCAACTTTATGTCAACCAACTTTCCTAATGACTTTCCTGCCCCCTACTAATGAGCATTTAGCACATTTTATAGCTTTTTGTTTTCAAAGTAATATCGCAGCATCAACCTTGAAAACTTACATATCGGCTCTTCGTAATAATTTCAAAGTTCAAGGTTTTGAAGACCCATCACAAGAATTTGTGATTCGTAAAATGCTACAGGTATATCAAAAGTTAAAAACTGTAGGAAGTGACACAAGATTGCCCATAACAACGTCAATTCTGAAACAGCTTGTGACTTCCTTTTGAGAAGTTAGCCATTTCACCTTATCAATGCAGTGTGCTACTAGCAATATATTTTATGGCTTTCCGTGCTTTTTAAGGGTTGATGAAATAAAAGTTTCGTCTTTTAAAAACGTTAAAAACTTATTAAATCTGACTAATGTAAAACTCGTTTCGGATAACTAAAGTTCCCATGAATCTTCTAAGATTACATCATATGTACAATGGATAATTTCGAAGATAGTGCAGGCAAACATATCCCCACGTTGTTTCTACAAAGAAACGATTCGGAAGAGTAATTTGGTCCTGTTCAGTCAGCTATTTCTTAAAGTTAAGAGGTCAGTGTCCAGGCCCTTTGTTTGCATATCCAGATGTTGATGGATTACTAAGGCACTTTTTACACATTATTTGCAAATGTCTCTTAAATGGGCAGGGCTACATACGAGCCATTATAAGGGGTGCAGTTTTCGAATAGGTGCAAGGGCATGCGCTGCAGCAATGGGAATATTAGAGGAGAAAACAAAACGAATGGGAACATGGTATTCCGACGCTTTAACAAAGTACATAAGAATCCCTGTGCTACATATTTAGATTAACTTGATTATTGGATCATGGGTCTCTGATCAAATATATTGTTGCCGATAAACAACGATTTCTCTGTTTCAAAACTTTAATCTACGAACATGCGGTTTTAACGAATACACAACGTTATTACAACAATATACTGAAGCCCGAACCCGATCCCAAAACAATGACAATTTGTACAAAAAACATAAATCTCAAGAACATTCTCCCCTCCTTGATAGCATGCATATCAAAATTTCTTGATTTTAAGAAATGAAAAATAATTCATACTGAAATGTCAAGCTACTGAAATACATGTAAAAAGTTTACACAGTCAACATTTTGAAAAAAGTTCGTCTATTCACTAAATTCCAATGGACACAATTTGGTTATAGGGCGCGTAAATGTCTTTTGTCCAACCTTAACGACTGCAACACGCACATGCCCATCTTTGCCGGAATGAACGTCCAAGACGCGACCTAGTTGCCAATGTCTAGGTACATTAGGTTCGATCACAAGCACAATGTCACCTTCACGTAGATCTCCGTGAGTCTGAGTCCATTTTTTACGCACGGTCAGTCCTGGTAACCACTCGCACATCCATCGGTGCCAGAAGTGACGTACAAGCTCCTGTATTCTTCTCCAACGTTTCCTGGGATTGAACTCTGTGGTGTCTACAGATTCTGGTGCGAACTGACCCCCAACCTGCCCATGCAAAAAATGGTTCGGTGTCAACGGAACATCATCATTAGGGTTTGCTGATTGGTAAGCTACAAATGCTGTCATGAGTTCTTCATCTGTAATATACGCTGATCTGATCACTGCATAGATAGCTCTCTTTGCAGCTTTTATCATAATCTCATGTACCCCTCCATGGTGAGGTGCAAGTAGTGGATTAAAGTGCCACATGACTCCAGGATTGCTGTAGACTGTTGAATTTTTCCATGGTCCAGTAAACCAACAATCTCTTTGAGTTCATTGTTGCCTCCAATAAAATTAGTCCCATTATCGGATACGACTTCCTTTGGTAGGCCTCTTCTGCTCACCATCCGGTAAAATGCATTAAGGAATGAATCTGTGTCAAGTCCATAGGCTATCTCCAGGTGCACCGCCCTTGACATCACACATGTGAAAAGACATAAGCATCTTTTCTCTCGTCGTTTTCCACGTCCTTGCTTTGTAATTAAAGGTCCTCCATAATCTACTGCAGTACAAGAAAATGCATGTAATGGCTGTTTGGTACGAATTGACGGAAGCGGACCCATCAGTTGCTCTGCTGGTTTAGCCTTGTTGCGACAACATCTGTTGCACTGTCACTCCCACTTTCGAATCTCCTCTCTTGCGGATATTATCCAGAAACGTGACGAGATCATGGACAACGTATGATTTGTTCCTGTTACATGATTTCCTTTTTCATGGTAGTACTTGATAATAAGAGTTGTGACATAATTGTTTCTCGGAAGAATGATGGGATATCTAACATCATATGGTAAAAATTCTGCATATTTCAATCGTCCATCACATCTCAAAAGTCCATCTTCATCAATTACTGGGTTTAAACACAATAACTTGCTATTCTGTTCAAGAGGTTTGTTTTGTTTCAGTAATGTGTATTCACAGTGAAACTCACATTTCTGGGCAGTCCTTATGATTTGAGTTTCCGCTCCTTCAATTTCTTCAGCATTCAGTTCTCCTGCGAGTCTATCCATGACCTTCAGTCTGCAATTATGTAGAAAGCGATTCACCCATGCTTGAACCCGAACAAGTCTTATCCAATTGGAATAGGTTTCTGGGTCTAAACAACACTGAATATCTTTACAGTCAATTGTTTCTGTCAAAAATGAATATGAGAAATTGACAACTTCCTTGTTCAACTTCTTTTTCTCCATATCAGTGTCTTGCTTTTCGATTTTCTGTTTTGGCCATTGGGATTCAACCTGATGAAGATAGTGTGGTCCACTCCACCAGACATTATCTTCTTGTGAAACAGACACTCCCCTGGATATCATATCTGCAGGATTTGATTCAGTTGGTACGTAGAACCATTGCCTTGGATATGAGGCCGACTGTATTTCTCCTATGCGATTTGCTACGAATGGCTTGAAACTTCTGCTTCGAGCTTTAATCCAACACAAAACATTCATGCTGTCAGTCAAGAATGTACACTGTTCAATGTCCAATTCTAAGGCGCTTATCACAGAAAGAGTCAATCTGGTTCCCAATACTGCACCCATCAATTCCAGTCTAGGTACGCTTACAGCTGTAAGTGGTGCCACTTTGGATTTTACTGTGACGAATCTCACCGACACATTTCCATCCTCATAGATACATCTCTGATAGACGACAGCAACATACGCATCTTGTGAAGCATCAACAAAGGTATGTAGGTAAGTCGATACAAATTCACCATGACATAAACGAAGACATCTCGGTACTGCAATAAGTGATAGCTCTGTTAACTCCTTTAACCACTTCTCGGCCTTCATGACAAGTCCATCACTTAGTGGGTCATCCCAGTCAAGGCTTGCATTCCACATTTCTTGTAGAAGAATTCTGGTATTATGTACGGTCCAAGAAAGCCCAATGGATCAAACAACATTGCGATTTTCGAAAGAAAACTGCGCTTCGTGTAATGAAAACCACTATTTGGTGGACTCGCTTTGAAGGTAAAAATGTCTTCTTTGGCCTTCCATAATACGCCAAGGGTTTTTACTTATGGTAGGCTGTTATTTTGTAGATCTACTTCAGGAACAACATCTTCTGGTGGAATGTGCTGCAATACATTCACTGAATTTGACAATCATTTTCTGGCATACATACCAGCTTTTCCCCATAATGTTGACAACTCTGAGTGTAGTTTGACACCATCTTCGTCACTTGCTACCGAATCCATACTGTCATCCATGTATGTAGATTTCAAAACAGTTTCTGCAGCCATGGGATAATTTTCTTTGTTTGTCTCCGCATGTGTCTGTGCGACAGGTTGTGCTTGAAACGGTGATGAATTCATTCCAAACACAACACTGCTAAATTCATACACATCTGGTCTTGCATCTAACATCATGTCACGCCACAAAAATCTCTGATAGGATCTATCTTCCACAGGAACCTTAATTCTAAGATACATTTCTGCAATGTCACAAACAAGTGCCACACTATTCCTTCTGAATCTAAGTAGTACGTCAAACAGTTCATTCTGAAGCTTAGGGCCACAGTAGATCATGTCATTTAGTGAAACACCACCATGCTTAGCTGAAGCATCAAAGACAATGCGGGTCTTTGTAGTGGTCTTGTCTGGTCGAATAACAGGAAAATGTGGAAGATACCATGTCCAAGATTTCTCTTCATCACGGTCAATTTTGCGAATATATCCTTTTTCAATGTACTGTTCAATAGTCTTTGAGTATGAATCTCTCACTTCCTCGTTCCTCATCAATCGTTTTTCTGTGTTTTCTAATCTTTGGAGTGCCATGTTATAATTGTTTGGCAGATTCCGTGCATCTGTCTTCCAAGGTATAGGAACTTGATTATGGTCCTCTACAAACATAAGCGACTCCTTCACTTTCGAGTATACGGCACGTTCCTCTGGACTGAACAACTGTTTCTTCTTTGGCTCACTGAAATCTTCCATCTCCCAGAATTTACACAAAATTTTATCCGTTTCATTTTCACTCCTTTGGCTATGGAGGAAGTAAGTTCTGTTATAATGAGTCTGAACACATTTCTCACTGGTACCATAAATTTTTCCCACACAAGTCCATCCTAATGGAGTAAGCCTGGCTACTGGTTCATCAGGTCGACCTCTGATTTCTTGATATGCATAGTGAAGCTCGCTGTTGTCCATTCCAATTAGTATGTCCACAAGTGGATGTTTACCTAGCACTGGGAATTCTAGTCCTTTCAAATGATTATGTTCCCCAAACGAAGTTGGGGAACATATTGTTTTTACTCTGTTTCTTATTAGGGTCTTCCGTCTCCAACGGAAGACCCTTCTATTATTCTATTGTTTCTTTTTCACTTTTATTATTATTTTTCTTCTTCCTTTTTCTTTACAATTTTTGTGGAGAAGATTTCTCAAAAATGGCTCGACCGATTAACTTGAAAATTTCAGAGATGATGTATCTTTATCTAAACCTTATACGTTTTTTTCATTTTTTTGAAATTCACTTCCGGTCGGAAGTTATCGCCCTTTCCGTGATTTTTAGAGGGTCTCCTTGTCCATGAGTAAACTCAAAAACAACATTAGCTACAGAGCTGAAATTTTCAGCGATGATAGTCGACACATTGCTGAATTGCACATTGGATTTAAAATTTTTCAGAAAGGTCAAATATGGAAGGTCGGTAGGGGTCAAAATCTAGGACACGAATCATGAGTGAATTTTCGAGACATTTTGAATCATATCTTTTAAAGTATAATTATTTTGTTAAAACATACTGAACAACATTTGTGTGGAATGCTAAGATCTTGAATATGACACCAAGAGTTTTCAAAAATTTCAAACATTTCAAATTTCCAAAAGTGCTGACTCATCACATTAAGGGCAAAAAGGGGCCAAAAATATTCATTTAATAACTGTTTAGCAATCAGTTTTTTGTTATACATTACTGAAGCAAAAATGTTTATCTCAACAATCTACAACTGTATATTATGATTTTAATGACATATATTACATAATTAGGGGCCACAAGGGGCCAGAATGCTAAATCTTTGACCTTTATATCTCGATTGTGAGAAATATTTTGACAAGTAATATTGAACAAAAGATGTTCAAAATCATGTTCTGAACAATATGCAACCTTCCATTTTCTGCTATACCTCCCCATTAGGGAGTTGAAGGGTTGGTCCCTAAATATTTCTTTTGCAAATAACTCGAAAACGAAAAAGAATCTCTGAATAGTTGTTGAACAAAAAGTGTTCAAAATCCCAAGACTCCAAGATGAAATCAAGAAAAAGGGGCTGGGCACTCAAATTAGGGGCCAAAAGGGGCTAAAAGTTTTTTTTCGATAACCCTTTAACAGTCAATATTTTGTTATACATTACTGAAGCAAAAATGTTTATCTCATCAATCTACAACTGTGTATAATGATTTTAATGTCGTATATTACATAATAAGGGGCCAAAAGGGGCCAGAATGCTAAATCTTTGACGCTTAATATCTCGAAAGTGAGAAATATTTTGACAAGTAATATTGAACGAACGATGTTCAAAATCATGTTCTGAACAATATGCAATCTTTTATTTTTCGCTAAACGTCCCCATTAAAGAGTTGAAGGGATGCGAATAACTCGAAAACGAAAATGAATCTCTGAATAGTCGTTGAACAAAAAGTCATCAAAATCATGAGAGCTTTTAGATAATATGAAGAAAAAAGTGCTGATCCCTAATGTTTGGGGCCGTGAGGGGCCAAAAGTCGATTTTTAAAAAGTCTTTTATGTTCAGTGTCTTTTTACAGATTTTGGAAAATGATTATTTTAGAATGAAAGTCTCAATCAAAATCTTATCTCATCTTATCGAGAATCGGACGGAAGACCCACTCGTTGCTCGCAACGAGATCGTATCTAGTTATTATTATTTTTCTTCTTCTTCTTCCTGGGTACTTTTTTGTCCGGGAGTGATCTTGTAAACTGTTCGTCCGATGTAGGTAAAACCTTTTTAGGGTCAGTAGACATGTTATGTAGATTTGCGGAATCAAGGTCATTTTGCGCGCACGTGCTTGCAAGAGCGTGCACGTGCAACACGTGAAATGACTAATATAATGGATATTGCCGTAACTTTTCTATTTTTTGATGAAATTTTTTGAAACTCATAATGTAAGGATACATTAAAAGTATAGACAAGATAGCATGGTTAAAATAGCAAGATCTCACGCGCATGCAGGTGCGCTTCGCTCTGATTGGCTGAAACTAAAGTCTCAATATCTTTCTTGTTTCTTGTCATAATCCTTTGAAATTTTGAACATAGTGCTACATTATGAAGATCTACAGCATGATATAAAAGAATTTTCATAAAAGCATGCGCATGTGCGCGTGCTGCAATCTGATTGGCTGAAACTGTAAATGGCTATATATCCTTTGTTTTTTGACAAAATTCTTTGAAATTTAAAATATAGTAATGCATTAGGATAACCTACAATATCGTATAGAAAAAAATCATGAAATCACGCACATGCATGTGTGCTGCAATCTGATTGGCTGAAACTTGAAATGGCTATAACTCCCTTGTTTTTCTACCGAACCGGATGGGATTTAGAACATAGATCGATGTAGGGGACTCCTACAAGAAGGTATGGTCATCATGCACGTGCACGCACGTGCGTGCATGTAGAACGAGTATAATTAAAAATACACTTGAATGAGTGATTTTTATTACTTTTGGACGGAATGCTTTAATATATAGTATATTAAAATATATAGATAGTGTAGACAAGATGATATGGTCATAACTCACATGCATTCACATGCGCTGGGGTGCAATGCAAAAATTTGAATATAATTGGTATCCTTTTGGGAAAACGTTGTTAAAAGCAAAAATGCACAGAGTTTGTCTTATTTAATGAAGCTTACAGGAAATATGGCACCAAAAGGGAGTTGGGGAGCGTTTGGGGAACATCTGTAACGGTTCCCGTTACAATTAGCACTAGTTCCATTTGTTTTGATACTCCCTCCAATTCACAACACACATATCACCAGTAACTTTGTCAGCTGTCAAGGCTTCCACCTTCTTTTTAATCCTGCCGTCAGTGCTTTCTATTTGGAATTCAACAGGCATAGTTTTATATGATTCAGTTTTGTCATTAAGAACTCCAACCGTCACTCTTTGCAATTTCCCATGTACGCCTAGTTCCGCTGCAACATCTGAATTGACGTTTGTTTGTGTACTTGCGTCTTCCAACAACGCATTTACTCTTAATGTCTTTGACCCATTTCTCACAATAACTGGAATAGTTCTTAGTGCGATGAACTGTGGCTCCCCTTAATGACACGTTAAAGTTCTGCCATGCTTCACTGATCTCTGGGTGTCACAATTTTTATCTTCAACAGAATTAACTGAGGGGCTCGGTCTCTGAGTCTCTTTATGTGGGTAAAATGCTGGAGCGTTTTGCCTCAACTCTGATGTTGAAATGCCGTGCTGATATTTGTCTGCACTCCGGTTATCATTATGATTTCCATTGTGCAGAAGTCTATGATCCGTTTCGGAACAATTGTCAATACCGCATGATCGACTCTTCCTACATGAACTTCCGAAATGGCCCATTCCCAAACAACGATAACACAACTTGGTCTCACGAACAAACTTCCACTTCTGAGACACATCAAGTTTCTTGAACTGTTCACACGACCAGATACCATGCTGTCCTTGACACATATGACACGTTTTCGATAAGTTCTTAGCATTTACAAAGAATGCTTTCTGATGTATTCGGTTACTGACACACTTTTTCCCGTCCAAATTATTGTTTGAATCCACTTGTAGACCATACACAGTCTCATTGGCGACAGTTCGAAATTCAGATTCCTGAATGACCCATTCTCGTAAAGTTTCCACCGACTCTGTCTTTTGCTTTTCGAACACCCATCTGTGATATGTAGATAACATTGTCTCTGGGATTTTCTTCTGCAGCTTCACATACAAAGAGCCATTTTTAAGTTCATCTGTCCTCCCTGTATCTTTTAGGTTAACAACAGCTACATCCAGTATGTCTTCAAATTTCTCTAGATCCTTTGAATTTCCAGCGCAAATTGGCCTAAATGACTCTAACTGTTCCAGGTGACGCATAAATTGTCGTCTCTGGCCTCCGAACTTTCTGTCAAGGCGATCCTTTGCTGCTTCATATGCGAATGCTGAGTGTCCAAGGTTCTCTACGGCTTTCAGAGCCTCACCAGATAGATACTGTCTAAGCTGTAACAACTTATACTCTGGAGTTGCTGGAACTTTGTCTATGCATGCGAAAAAGGCTGCTTTCCAACTTTCATAAGTACGCTTGTCACCAGAAAATACAGGGATTGACACTCTTTTCAGTTGTTTCCACATGTCATTACCAATTGTAGGCTGATTTATGGAATTCTTACTAGTTTGTTTTTCGGTCGGGGATGTTGTCACAGTGTATGGGTTTTCATCGATATCTTCGATGAAAACGATACTATCTGTTTCCTGATTGTCGGTGTCATGGTAACCAACTCTCTTCATACATCCTCTGTACTTCATTCTCCACTTCTTCGAGTTCTTTGTATCCCTCTTGAATATTTTCATTTAACTCTTCTAATTGTTCTCTCTTCCCTTGGAATTCTTCCTCCAGTACTCTTTTAGCTTCTTCAACCTTTTGTACCTCCTTCCGAATTGTTTCAGCTCTTTTCCTAACTTGAATTTCCTCATGATTCAAAATGCCTAAGCTGCCTCCTAGAGAGCCTGTATTGATACTTGACGCCTCGCTTAGCCGTAAATCTAAATATTCCTGCACTCTTTCTTGACAATCTTCAAATGTCTCTTCTATAACATCAATTTCTTGATTTGTTTTTGCTAAGTTTTTCATGTCACTTGCCTTTTTGTACTCTGCGGAGAGCGACAGTAAATAATTCATCACAGGCTCCTGTAAATCAATCAATCTTTGCCTCGCTGTGCGAAGTTCTCTGCGACTGGGTAAATCTTGATCCAGTAAATTTAATAAATGGTGTTTAGTTCGAGTAAACTGTGACTTAGCTTTTGTTTTTTCACGTTTTATGTCGTCGAGGTCCAGTTTTCCTTCAGCGACGTCTACTTTCGTTTTCTCACTATTCATTTCATCGATTATTTTATCGTCTTTCTCCATTTTCTGTGCTTCCGAGGTCGCCGGAACGTTTTCCCCT